CAGCAAATAAATAAATAAAAGAATATAAAAATAATCTAAAGCTGGCGTTTTTCTGATGCAGGCCCAAGTAAAAATGCCATAGGGCCTTCAGGTTGCGRTGACGTGACCTGGGGGCCCTATTCCAACCTCGGGTCCYGTGAGGGGCCCGTGTGTAGGCTTTCAGCATGTAACAGTAGGGGTCTACCAAATTGTCGTCCAAGATCAGTTTCTGGATCGGAGCCGCCTCTTGTGATGCGTTAAGTGATGCCGATCTGGAGATCCGATCGATGGCCGGGTCTAGTGTTGCATTCCAGTCTCCAACAAGAAGGCAAGCTGACAGCGGGGGGATTAGGTCACCTAACGAGTGGATGAAGGCAGATCTGTTGGTGGGGTCGTTAGGGGCATATATGTTAATTAGCCTAAATTTTTCTTCCTTCCATTTCAGGTCCATAAGACACCACCTTCCATTCTCATTATCTGCTTCTACGTTGGTGACTGCCCCTGCCGAGTAAAGTTTGGATATCTTAGGAATTAGGATTGTTGTTCCTTTCTTGCTCGTTGTAGTGTCTGATGTAAGACTGCATCTTTGATCCCACCCATTTTCCTCATAAATATCTGTTGCAGTTTTTTGTGGTCTTTAGAAGTCGTAAGATGGGTTTCTTGGAGCATTATTATGTCGGCTATCTTGTTGTTCTCCGATTTAAGGCCCTTGATAATATCATTTAACCTCCCTTCCTTGGCGCCGCCCAACCGCTCAAGCAAATCATCAATGCGAGGTAGAGGCCCCGCGTTCTTGATGGTTTGCGCGTTGAGGCGTTGGTAGTCAATGCAAAGTCAAAGGTCCTTGTTCTTCTTCTGAACGAAGAGAACGGGCGCACCGTAAGGTGAGCTGCTAGGGCGGATCCAAACCTTGTCAAGTAGATCGTCGAGTTGCGCACGGAGAACCGTGAGCTCCTCCTCGGACATGCGATAAATGCATTCCTTCGGTAGCACGACACCGGCCTCAAGTATGATCTCATGAGAGATTGGCCGGTCTGGCACTATACCGGAGGGTGTCTCAAAAACATCCGAGAACTCGTCTAACAACCGGGTCACACGGGGGTCGGAAGACACATCCGTGGATGATGAATCGGTCGTCGGGACGGTTCGAAGAAAAGCGATGTCAATCTCTTCGACATGCTCGGAACGGCATGTGTCTCGAAAAGATTTGGCACTCACGACTTKGCACCGAATGGAAGAGCGAGGAGGAGGAATAGTACACGGGACCTCGGCGCCAGTTGCATCACGAATCGTGAGCGTGCGTCGATGGAAATTGACCGTGTGGTCCGCGCTAGAAAGCCAAGGCATTCCCAAAATGACATCGAAGTCGGTGTCCAACACGTCAAAAGTGACGGGTTCACATGCGTGCGGTGCAAAGTACACCGGGACAGCCGAGATGTAACGGTCTAAAAGYTGTTTCGTCTTACCGTCGGCAAGAGCAACCATCGTCGGATGTGACTTCCTCCGTACTTGTGCGCCAAGGCCAGCCCGAGTCATGAAGGACTGGCTGATGAAGTTGCGAGTTGCGCCGCAATCTAGCAAAGCGTTGCAGGCCGCTTGCCCAATCTGAATGCGAACGTAGAGCGACGGTGCGCTGTTTTCTTCGTACCGTTGCGAGATAAACTCGCGGGCCACCTTGGCAACATAGCCAAGCATGTCCCCCACCGCGACTTCGTCTACCGTCGGCRAAGTTGGTGGTGCATGGAAGGAAAGATACTCGTGTAAGAGGGCGCATAGGGCTGCGCTTTGCGGCCCCGGAAGGTTGCCTGTCGTAGGGAGAAGAATCCAACCGAAGTCCTCGGGTGTGAGCGGGTCCAAAGCCTCCTCGTTGAACACGCTTGCCGAATCCCTTGATGAAGACGAACTGGCGGAAGAACCTTCGGACGGTGAGAAAGCCGCACATGTATCTTGTCCTTGAGAAGCATCCAGTGAAGGAACGAGCCGGGCAGCGAAGTCTTCGAACGAAAGTGGAAGACTCTCGACATCCGCATATGCCTCGGAAGAAAGGGTGGTCGTGGCCACAACCGCTTCCGATGGCGTCGAGGGAGGTGTCGAGTCACCCTCGGCGGCGCCTACTTTCCCGGACGGGGTTTCCCCTTGGTGGGGCAATGTGCAGCATCGTGGATGGTGCTGTTGCACCAAAGGCAATAACGGTGAGTCGCGTGCGATAGGAATTCGCCGAGAGTTCGTATTGCGCCCAAGGTTCGTTGGCTGCTGATCCGGTGCTCGGTGTAGAGGTGGACTGAGTCTTCGTCTTGTCGCGGCCGTGGTTGTTGCGCGGCCGGCCACCATCCCRGGCAGCTGCCAACACTTCACCCTCGTTTGGTGTTGCAGCCTCGGTAGAAGTAATGCAAGCCACCTTTGGCTTGGGTTGGGTGCCGCTCGTCGTCGCGGAAGATCGGCCGGCATTGCGGGCTTCGATATTCGTGAGAATGATCCATGACGTTGTGCTGAAAAGCTTGTCAGATGTGTCGAGTGTCTCCGCAATCTACGTCAGCGCGTTTTGCAGAGCTGGACACGAGCGCATGATAAACAAGTGCTTGATGGCGCGGAAGGCGAGCGGCAGGTTAGGTGTGGAGGCGAGTCTTCGAAACTCGGTAATCCAGTCCTGACTGAGCAGCGTGTTCTGATGGAGCTTGTTGAGCTTGTCCATCGCTTGCAGGTCGGGCGGCTCCACTTGGAATCGCTTGTGCCAGGCGTCAGTCAACTCCTGCCAAGTGAGCTTGGTGTGCAGTTCCGACACTGCTACGCCGTGGCTGGTCAAGATGTTGTCCAGCCATGCTTGACACGCACCACCAGATCGGTGGTACAAGCACAGATGTCGATCGTTGTTCGGGACATGGTGCATGTCGAGCCTGAGAGTAAACTGGCGCCACCACGGGATCGGTTCCGTCTTGGACTGATCGCAGAAGATTGGAATGTCATCTAGCTTGGGTGGGCGCCTGGAGGATGCGGCGGCGGGCGTCACGGTGGCAGCAGCCTGGACCTGCGTCTCCAACTGCAAGTTCGTTGCTTGCTGCGACGTCCTGAAGTCCTGATGCACACGCTTGATATTGCTGACGTCGTCCTCCAAAACTTGAACATGGGTGGCAAGGTTTGAAGGCCCTGCAGCTGCTACAACAGCTGGCTGTTTTTCCAACGCCTGCAGCCGTGCGAGCATCTGGTCCACTGTCTGCTGCAGGTGAAGGATTTCCTCCTGCTGCAGAACGCAGGTGGCCACGAGGTCGTGGGAGACCTGCGCAAGGGCTGACAGCCCTTTCTCAGTCTCCGGGGCCTCGTCTGCAGATGCCACTTGCACCCAATGTGCGGCCTCATCGCCGATCACGGTCTCCCGCGTGAACAGTCGTTCCCGCTGGTGTGACCGGTGTTCGGCTGTCGCCTGCATGTCTGCCTCCTCTTGACGAAGTCGGTCCTGTTCKTCCTTCTGTCGCTTGGCCTCCTCTTCTTGCTCAATCCGACCACGTTCCTTGGCCGCGGCGGCAGCCCTGTCATTGGCCTCCTGGATGACAGCAGCCAGGCGTTCCTCATAGGCCAGGAGGGATTCTCCCTCCTTCCGGTCCATGGTCTTGGTCTGTGATCGAGTGAGTCGTGGCATGCACTGCTCTGAAGAGTCACCTATGGGCCAATCAGATAGACTGGCCCAATATTCGGACTGGAGGGGAAAGAACACGTAGGCAGCAGACAGGTGGGAAGGATCGGACAGAACCCAAATTGAACAGTTCCCTAATCAAAAAAGAAAAAGAAAAAAATTTTTGATTAAGAAATAAATCAAAATTCGAAAAAGACTGTCCAATCCCACTGAGTACCGAAGGTGATGCAGCAAGCAAATGTGAACCTTCGGTGCTCAACTGCAGAGAATCAGAAAAGAAGTATCTTTACAACTCAAAGTAGGAGTAGGTTGCAGAAAGGAAAAAAATGCCATTTTTTTATTTTTATTTTTTTGAAAAAAAAAAGAAAAAAAAAGAACGGAATTTGCAAACCTACGCAGTGAAGGTGTAGAGGGACATTTTCGGAAAAAGAATCGAATTTGTCAAAATGCAGACATTTAACAATAAGGTAAAAAAAAAATTCTCGGAAAAAGAATTCTCAGAACAAAAAAAAAGAATTTCTCGGAAACCAAATTTCTCGGAAAAATAATTTTTCGGAAAAGAATAATTTCTCGAAAAAAAATTATCGGAAAAAAAAATAATTTCTCGGAAAAAAAAAAATTATCGGAAAAAAATAAATAATTAATTAATTAATTAATTCCGGGAAATTTCCAAGATAAAAAAATTGCCAAATAATCAATCAACTAATTAATCAATCAATCAATCAATCAATCAACCAATCAATCAATCAACCAATCAATCAATCAATCAGTCAATCTCARATGATTGCTGGTTGATTGATCAATAGTTCGATCAATCTCCTGATTGACTGATCAATCAATCAAAGATTGATTGGTGGCAAACCGCCAATCCAATCAATCAATCGATTGATTGGTTGTTGCCAAGATTCATCGCACTAGCTCCGATACCACTTGTAGCATATCAGAAAGTGAAATGCACTGAAAGCCTAGGATCTAGCAATGACGAAAGTGGCAACAACCAGCAGCATAGGTGCAACATTCACAAGGTGTCAATGTGCACGATGCAAAGAGTGAAACAACGAGAATTCAACAACAACACATTCGTATCATTATCATCATAGGTTGGGAAGCAGCGCAGCGGAAGATTTAGTATCAAGAGGACACGTTGACAACAACATCAAAGGGAGAAACTTCGGAAGGGCAAGACACTAGAAAGATTGCCCTTCCGCTCACACACATGGGAAGAGATCCATAGACATGCG